GGAGAACTTAGATACGTGGTTCCAAAGTTGATTTTGTTGGGAACTTTTGTGAGTTTACTTGCAATGTTGCAAACGCTTTCTGAACGAAGTGACCCTACATGTTCCTCATTGCGGGGGTGGATGAGTCAGAAGATGATGGAAGATTTGCTGTGTGTTGCCTGAAAATTGGCCTGCAACCCACAAACCTGGCTTCAATGACACCTTTCTGCTGTTGAATCTCTTTTGGGCTCCCCTGTGAATTTGCTTATGGGGTTCGGAACAAGTATGTACTTTTTTGCAAGGGGCGCAACGCTTTCGCCTGAGGTCTCTTGGGGGTTGCCGGTGCTCACCTTGGTGTGGCTGCTGATCCTCTTGAACGGCTGCGAGGACTCCAACGACTTGTCGATCAAGCGCGGGAGCCCAGATTTTGATCCTCCTGGCACATAGCCTGGGAGGCCAAGCATGGTCATCTCCAGGGTCACTGATCCACTGCCTCTTTGACGCCATTGTTAGTGGATCGCCGAATATGAACCATAGTCAAAGAATGACATGTTGAGGGGTCAGAGGCTGAGGGAGGACCCGCCCAGGCCCCAACCTCAACCCGTGAGAAGCTTTCTGAAATTGGCCTCCATTATTGAAAGAGGGAGGGATATAGTCGATTCACTAAGTATCCCACACGACCCACTAGTTTCCCCAAGTCCTTTGCGGCAGCCACATGTGTTGCTGTGTCTCATGCTTGTATGGTTTTTACGCTTTTAGGGAATCCTGGGAAGCCACATGTCCGTGCCCCGCCAGAGGCATCACCTTGCAAAATAGCGGGCCTTTGAAGGAGGTCGCAGTACAACACAGCCACAGACTATATAAGAGGCGCATGTGGCGCAAATTTGGCGTACCTCGCGGGTACGATTCAGATGCCATGAATTTGGCAGGAGTGCCCCCTGGTGTGACCGGCTCATGTTGGTGTTTGTAAACTACACTACTGTTAGTATATAAGTAGGGGTGTAAGCTTCTTGTTCAACAAACCGCCCTTCACCTGATCTGGACTCACTTGGCCTTGTTTAACTTTTTGTGCCTGTTTATTTTGTTGGGGTTCTTACAGTGTTTTTGGGTACGAAGGAGTGTCGGTATTCATGCATTGTGAGGAGATGCCCATTGTCAATGAAATTGTTGGTTAGAGGGTGACTGCGGCTCGGTAACTGGGGGGAGATGACACGATTTCTGCGCGCGGAATTGACTATATTCCCCCTTTTTCTGGTGTTCAGATGATAGCATATTTTCTTGGTTCCCAATTTCAGGTGAGTCTCCTTTTGGGCCTTTTGGTGGGGTGATTGACGTTTCGCAATATCACGGGCACTAGGCTGAGTTTTTGTCTTACCCAGATGTCAAGTGAGGTGCAGCGTGGGCAGCCAGTCTGCTGCGCAGGGGGCCCAGAGAGTCCGAGGCATCGCTTGATCAATGTTGTGACACTATAAGTAAGCAGGCTCTTCGAGCTATCTTAAAATGAGAAAGCGACCTTTATTGAAATCGCTACACGATCCGCCGACGCCAGTGGGGTGCAAAGGATTTTAACTGGCTTGTGCGTTCCAGTCCTGCATTGACATGTATGGATATACAATGTGTATGTGCTTGTGGTGTGCTTTCGATCCAAGGTCGGTGATGGCGGACGCTTGGCAATACATCTACTCCGGGCATTTGCTGATCCTGTTCCTTTTGGCCCAGATGGCTCCCATCTTCTTTGAGGTATGGATGCAGGCTCGGTCTTCACACATGCGGATAGCTTTCCCAGACACAAATCCTGAAATTCCTTTCCCAGGCCCCCTTCGGGCTCGGGTCACGTGGTCGCGCGGTCAGTCCGAAGTCCAACCTAGTGACACATTTGAGAATTCTGCCCGTCAGAGCTCCTGTTGAACAGGGCGCTACTGATTTTGTTACCTCAACGGATTTGACTGGGGCGATTTCTTGTTAACCTCGGGGAACACCATCCAAGCGCTGAAATCAGGAGCCCGGTCCAAAAGAGCAGTTGGCGCTCTGAAGCGCTCTTTTGGCGAGAGCTTTTGGTCCAGGCGGGCCTGGTGCAGTCGACCCTGCGCTTGGTGAAGCAGCTCCTCACGCTCTCCCCTGTGATGTTTATCTTCCAGGCGAAGGCAGGGACTTTGGGGGCGAGGGTTCGCGCCATTGGGCTGACGGGCTAGGATGGAAGGCTGGCCTTCAAAGGAGTGCGTTTCTGGTTGTGTTCGTATTTTGCGAGTTTTGTTTGTGTGTGTGTTTATTTGATTGTCCTTGTTTGTTTGATTGTCCTTGTCTGTCTGTCTCTCTGTCTGTCTGTTTGTTTGTCTGTTTGTTTGTTTGCTTGTTTGTTTGTTTGTTTGATTGTTTTTTGTTGTTTGTTTTGTTTTGTTTGTTTGTTTGTTTGTTTGTTTGGTTGTTTGTTTGTTTGTTTGTTTGTTTGTTTGTTTGTTTGTTTGTTTGTTTGTTTGTTTGTTTGTTTTGTTTGTTTGTGTGTTTGTTTGTGTGTTTGTGTGTTTATGTGTTAGTTTTGTTGTTTGTTTGTTTGTTTGTTTGTTTGGTTGTTTGTTTGTTTGTTTGTTTGTTTGTTTGTGTGTTTGTGTGTGTGTGTTTGTGTGTTTATGTGTTAGTTTTGTTGTTTGTTTGTTTGTTTGTTTGTTTGTTTGTTTGTTTGTTTGTTTGTTTGTTTGTTTGCTTGTTTTTTGTTTTGTTTTGTTGTTTGTTTGCTTGCTTGCTTGCTTGCTTGTTTGTTTGTTTGTTTGTTTGTTTGTTTGTTTGTTTCTTTGTTTGGTTGGTCGGTTGGTTGTTTGATTGTTTGTTTCTGTGTTTGTTTCTTTGTTTGGTTGGTCGGTGGGTTGTTTGATTGTTTGTGTGTTTGTTTGGTTGGTTGGTTGGTTGTTTGTTTGTTTGTTGTGTGTTTGTTTGATTGTTTCTGTGGTTTTTTTTTGTTTGTGCGTGTGTGTTTTTGTGTGCGTGTGTTTGCGTGTTTGTTTGTTTGGTGAGTTTGTTGGTTGGTTGATTGATTTTTGTTTGGCTGGTTGCTTGCTTGCTTGCTTGCTTGCTTGCTTGCTTGCTTGTTTGCTTGTTTGTTTCTTTGTTTGGTTGGTCAGTTGATTGGTTGTTTGATTGTTTGTTTGTGTGTTTGTTTCTTTGTTTGGTTGGTCGGTTGGTTGTTTGATTGTTTGTGTGTTTGTTTGTTTGTTTGTTTGTTTGTTTGTTTGTTTGTGCGTGTGTTTGTTTGTTGGTTGGTTGTTTGTTTGTGGTTGTGTGTGTGTTTGTTGTGTGTTTGTTTGATTGTTTCTGCGTGTTTTGCTTGTTTGTGCGTGTGTGTTTTTGTGTGCGTGTGTTTGCGTGTTTGCTTGTTTGGTGAGTTGGTTGGTTGTTTGTTCGTTTGGTTGTTTGACTGTTTGTTTGTTTGGTTTGGTTTGGTTTGGTTTGGTTTGGTTTGGTTTGGTTTGGTTTGGTTTGGTTTGGTTTGGTTTGGTTTGGTTTGGTTTGGTTTGCTTGCTTGCTTGCTTGCTTGCTTGTTTGTTTGTTTGTTTGTTTGTGTGTTTCTTTGTTTGGTTGGTCGGTTGATTGTTTGATTGTTTATTGTGTGTTTGTTTGTTTGTTTGTTTGTTGTTTTGTTTGGTTGTTTGTTTGTTTTTGCTTTGTTTGTTGGATTGGTTGGTTGTTTGATTGTGTGCTTGTGTGTTTGTTCGTGTGTTTGTTTGATTGTTTATGCGTGTGTTTGTTTGATTTGTTGTTTGTTTGTTTGTTTGTTTGTTTGTTTGTTTGTTTTTGTGGTTGTTTCTGTGTGTTTGTGTGTGTATTTGTTTGTTTGTGTGTGTTTGTTTGTTTGTTTGTTTTGTTTGTCGCTGGTGTGTGGGTGTTGGTTTTGTGTGGTTGTTGTGTGTGTGATGTGTGTTCTCTGTTTGGTTTGTTGTGTGCGCGTGTTTTGTATGTGTTGTTTGTTTGTTGTGTTTGTTGTGTTGTTGCTTCTTTTTGCGTTGGCTGTGTGTGTGTGTGTTTGTTGAATGTTTGTGTGTGTGTGCTCGCTCGCTCGCTCGTTTGCTTGTCTGTTTGTGTTTGCTTGGCTGGTTGGTTGGTTTGTTTGAATGTTTGAGTGATGACTTGTTTTGTCTTGTGTGTGTGTTTTGTTAATGATTCTCTTCCCTTGCTGATTTGACCGGTTGTTTTGTTGTTTCCTTGTTTGACTGTTTGTTTTTGACTGCTTGGATGGTTGTTTGGCTGTGCGTTTCTTGTATGTTTGTGTTTTCTGTTTTACTCTTGGTATCGATGCTGGTTGTTCTTATTGTGTGCATTGCGTTTCTTCTCCTCCTTTCATGCATGGTTTCGTCGCTTTGCTTATTTGCTTTTGTTTTCATTGCCATGAGCTGGTGTTTGCCAGGTCATCGGCTTTTACACCATGAATGAGCTGAAATACGGGGGTGCCACATATGCCCGAAGTCTCAGTGAGCCGGGCATGGAATCCGCGGGGCCGTGTTGAAGTTCTAAGCGGCTTGCGGGGGTAGGTTAAACAGGGGTGCTCCGAACAATGCTAACGCGTCAAACCAGAAGGGTAGAAAGATGGAGCCTGGTGAAGTATGTTGCATTTAGGTGACTGGTATTTTATTGATGTGGGTTGATATATGTTTGATGACTCTGGGTTTCGTGTGGGTCTTGTGCGGGTTTTCTTAAGGTATTGGGTGTGGTCTCCCCACTCCACACACGCACTCCAAACTCAGGAGGCTTCCAACCACGCCGGACAGAAGCCAGCTTTCGCTTGGTGATGGGAGGGGAACCCAAATGGGCTGAACAGGTACGGAAGCCGAAAACGGGCTCACTGGCCGACACTCCGGACCAAAAGCGCCTAGGATTCCAGTTGCCTGGACCTGACTAGTCCTTGGACTATGTTCCAGCCTGGAGACCGGAATGCCCCTTCTCTCGAAGGCTGTCCCTTCAAAACCCAAACGAGGTTTCAAGACCGAGCCATTTGGGACGGGTTCCGGAGCTGTGTGGGGAAGCGGCGGCCGAGGCAATTTAGCCACTTCGGCTCAGGCATAGGCTCTTGCAATGGCTGCCCAAGAGCGAAGGATGCGAAGGCCGTGCGGACTTTGAGAATGTTTGGAAAGGGTGCTCCTTGTTGGGCACCTTGTCTTGGCTGTTCTTTTGTATCTCTAACCGTCATTTTTGGGGGAAATGTGGCTTTCGCGCCAAGCAGACAAAAAGTTACAAAGTGTGTAGTGGCGCTAGCCACCAAGAATTTAAGGCCCTTATGGGACAGTTTTGGAATCTCTCAAAGCGGTTTTGGCTTCCTCTTGGAAGGATGCCCAAAGTTGTCTCCGAAAAGGTGGCAAGAGGACCAGCTTGGCAAAGGTCCGGGCTTGCAATCAGAGAACCTAGTAGCTGAGCTGGGAGGCCTATCCGTCAAAATCGATTTGGTGCGAGTTCGGACGCCTGGACGTCCATGCGAAAGCAACTCTCCCTGTACGGCCAGCCTTGTGCCACAAGCGATCACAAAGGTCCATGACGCAAGACAATCCTGCCACAGTGGCCCTTTTTCGTGTACCTCCAAGGCTGTCACCTACTAAATTCTTATCTTTGGCTTATTGAATTGCTTAAGCAGGGATAGCTCCCCAAGAGCCTTTTTAGAGTCCGCAACTCTTGTTAGGAGCATGTCTTACAGATCTCTCCAAAAAACATTTGCCGAACCAACGCAGCCCATAGCCATAGACGAACCAAACACGTTTTGTGGTCGGAGGTCGGCAGCGCCGCTGCTGCTGCTGGGGGGCGCAGCTGTCTCCTGCGCTCCTGCGCGCCTCGATGATTTCAGGATGCCATGAGTCAGAGAGACACAAGCCGTTGCACCGTCCGACAAAAAGCAACTGTGTGCACTTGTCTTGACATCGGCAGTTTTGCCATGAAATAGGCATTTTCATAGTGGCACAACCCGTCAGCGAGCCAGCGCTACGGGGTGCTTCTCAACAGTACTTGGCCCAAGGAAGATGTTTAAGAAAACCACCAAACATGTGGGATCACTAGCCATGGGGGGGTCTTCCCTTGCCCTCCTCTTCCCCAGCCGTTCTGGGGAGCCATTGAGGCCGCTGAGTGAATGACATGGTTGACCTTCAGGAGAGACATTCGGACCCTTGCTACCCCACAAAAGTATTCAGAGCCTTTCTGCAGAGAAGGTTCCAGGAGCCTTTGATTGAAGTTGGGGGAGGGCGTTGTTTTCGTCCCTAGAAAGACAACCGCGTCACCGCTCAGGTTCGTTGCTGTCACTTCAGCGCCGCGTACTGCGCCGGCACGGGCGGTGGCGCCGGTGAGCCACGTGGCAAGCGCCGGGCCAGAGACGGGCAGATCGCAGCTGGCCGGCGCGGTGTCTGAGCCGCATGGGTCTCGTTGATTGAACCTGAACGTCAAAGGGCCTGATGTGATTTTCCCAGAAGGAAATTGAAAGAGGAGGCTCAATGGCGCCGAGTTCAGTGCTCGATGACGGAGCGGTATGACCCCAGGGTGTACCACAAAGGGCCTTTGAATGGGGTAGGCTGCTCAGAATTCGCATGTTGGCCGGACGTAAATCCGATTAATTACTAACCTTCCTCTCCCCCCTTCAAGGTCGACAAGGTTTGGTCGGGAGGGGTTTACTAATCGCGCGCTCACAGTATCCCCATGCCAATGATGTCCAGCCCATTGTTCTGAGGATTTTTGTATTACAATTACACCCTTGGGAAATGATCCAGAATGACTCAAAATAACACGGTTTGATCCGGAAATGTGCCTAAATGAGGTTAATACCCAGTGGGTGTATTCCCAGGGTGTAATGCAAAAGCCCTTGGATCCAGCCCTTTGTCGGTCAGCTCCAAGGCCGTCGCGGCGGCCTCCCTCCTCGCAGCCAACGCGGCCCGGCGCGCACGCACCGCGCGGCGCGCGGAGGAGAAGGGAGCGCTGCAGCAGCTCTTGGGCATGAAGGCAAGGCATGTGCAAGCAACTGGTCCGAGAGAAAGCAAAAACCGAGGGTTGAAAAGCTTCCTGAGTTCCTGAGCTTTCAACTTTTCGGGAAGACCATTTAGGTGGTACATAGTAAGTTTGGAGGTTTGCTGGCCCATCCACTCAAGAAGTGAGTTCAACATGGCTTTGAAAAGCCATGGTAGCACGGGGTTGGCCGTTTTCCTGCAAGGGCGCGGGCGAGACGGATGACACGCCGCTGTGGAAGTGCCTCGGTGAGTCACTGAGGGCGGGGGCTTTTTTGTCGCGTGCAGCAGCTGTTTGTATTAGTCCCCTTGAGGGGATCGAGGCCATGTTGATTGTCTTTGAAATGAGGAGCCAGTTTTTGAGTTGGCTTTAAAAGGGGAAAATTGGAAAGCGATCCAGCTGTGGGTGTTGATGGCCTTTGAAAAAGCATTGCTGTGTATTGAGCCACCAGCCATGCTGGCTGCATTGAGTTGTACATCCTCTTGGGAGCATTGGCGGGGCCGGTTGAAACTGCAACCCTGAAACACACGTGGACGAGCACAAACAACTGGTTGGGGGAGGGGAAGTCAGAGATACCCTCTGCAACTCAACTTATAAACCCTCAAACAGGCCCGATCCCGAAAGAAACTACGTTCCTAGAAATGGATCGGTTTTGAGGTTCTATGCACATTAGATGTCTAAACACCAACTGGGTTGGCTGTTTGGCGTTCCACGTTTATCAAAAGGAAGGTACACAGATGCATCTTCTGAACCAGTAGCTGTGTGTTTCAGCCCACACCTCCCATGAAGCCCCGTCCCCGAGCAAGGATTCGGCTGCAGCTTTGCAAGCCCGTCACGTGGCCTCCGCTGATCTTCGGCGTCATCGCAGGCGTGTGCGCCAGCGGCAACTTCGACTGGGGACAGGCTGGTGGGGTGCTCGGGGGATATCTTTTAGGCAAACCATCGCGACCTCACTTGGGGGCAGGGCAACCTCACCCATGATGAAGGTCCTTTGTTTGGGGGTTTCTTCTTTCGCAACTGGGAATTATAGTAATTTCCCTACTGCTTTTCGGCACTGCACTGCTGCAGCTTGGCAAGTCTAGCAGAAATCTAGGAACAGAACCGTTTTGGGCTACCCAGACTATGTAATTGTGTTCCCCCTTTGCGTTAGGGTTCTTCCCTCTGTGATATCTGCTTCTTTCACGGGGCTCCGGTCACTTTTTCGCTGACTGGAGGAGGGGGAAACCGACCTCCATGGCTTCCAAGAGAGCGGGATACTTGTCGGGATGAAGCGACCCCTTTCCTTCAACAAAAAACACACGCACACAAACCTCCGCCCAAGTGAAGATCGCGCCTCCTTTCCGCCCTTCTGGGTGTCACTCTCTTGGCGAAAGCCGGAAACGGGGCGCCTTGATTTGTTTCTGGAACTTTCGACTTTTTTTGGCTGGTGTTTTTTTTTTAAGTGCCGTGCGCAAGAAGCCACCAGACGGGTGCATCTTGTGGGTTGAAGTACCCTGTTCCTTTCTGGAGTGCGTAGGAAAATCAGACGAAAATCAACCACTGAATTCGGGGTCCCAAATTTTGAGATGACAAACTCATATGTGTTGTCGAATGGCCAGGCGACTGGAGCGGACTACGCCAAGTTGTTGACCTGCGTTCTTTTGTCCGGGCCGGTGTTGGTCGGCTACACGCAGACGCTGAACGATTGGTACGACAAAGACCTGGATGCCATCAACGAACCCTACCGTCCCATCCCCTCGGGACGCATCACGGAGGAGATGTTCTACAGAACGCAACCTGCCCGGTTCTCTCATGCACCCAGATGTTATTTCTCATTTGGTCACAGAACCGGTGAAAAGACCAGCTGAACCGTGGAGCCTGTTCTTGAGTTGGAAGCCAACTTCGATGTCTGTGGGTCAAGAATAGGTACCCAAAATGGAACGCTGGTAAATGGAACCAAAAGACAAAAATCTGCGGTCCCCGGGTGGCCTAGTTTTGACCCACACCCAGATACTCGGATGCCTCCGCTTGGCTCGGCTACGGTTTCAGGAGGAGGTTTGGCAGCAGATCTACGTCCTGGGCGGCGTAGGTCTTGCCATGGCCCTGGCACTGGACCGGGGAGGGAGCGGGAGGGAGGGCCGCGGGTGAGGGAGGCGTGAAATGGATTTTTTGCGGGTTGATGTTCCCAGGGCCTTGGCTTTTGGAAGAGGTCAAGAATGGGGAAGGTACGGCTGGAATGATCAGGTTTCTCGCGGTGAGCAGAAGATTGATCGAGATCCACGCCACATCACAAGCAAGGATCGTGTTGAAGACGCTTTCGCCGAATCCTTGTGTCCAATGATTGAAAGCTTGAAACAAGCAGCAAAGAAGATTGAACAAATGCTTGAGAAGGCAAAGAAGACAAGACCAGGAGGTGTTCAAGGCTCCATGCCATGAGTATTGCAAACACCGGCATTCCCTGGAACACTTCGGCCCGCAGAAGGCTGAGGCCCCACAGCAAGTCAAACCACCATATCCTTTGAGAAGCGAGCTGTGGTTCCTTCATACAGCCCCACCAGTGCCAGTATGTGTGTTTTATGTTCGTGTGTTGAAAGACGCCCTTTGCGAGGTGCAACAAGTCCCAACCTGCAAAAGAGAGAGGGGAGACACACAGAGACAGAGAGAAAGAGAGACAGAGCGAGGGAGAGAGGGAGAGAGGGAGGGAGAGAGAGAGAGAGAGAGAGACACGCTTGGCCAGAGCCTTTCTGTTGGAAATGCCATCCAAGATCAGATCCTGTGAGTTGAAGTCGAACCGCAAAATTTCAGGGACGCCCAAATGTGCGCGTCTTTGTTTGACTTGTTTAAGGCGCGGCGACGAAAACCCACAGGTGTTCCCCCCAGGGATCGCAGGCCCTTAAGGCAGCTGACTTCACAGCATCCACCCAGCTGAAACATGGCATATAAGTTATATATAAGTTATATGCTTGCTGCTATGCTTCTTGCTGGCTTCGTGTTTTGGTTTCGTGTTATTGATTCCCCTAGAACTTCGAACTCGCGCTAGGACGTATGGCAGGGCCACTGGCCTCCCACCGTCTTCGCCGTGGCGGTGGTGGGTGTGCTCATGGCTTACATCTACTCCGCGCCACCGTCGCTTTGGCACTTACATCTACTTCGCTTTCTCCGAATCGCATCCTTTGTCTCTTTGTCCTTGCCGCAAGGCGGAGGGGCGGGAGGCAAGAGGAAACTTAATTATCCAAACATGGTTGTTTTTTGCGTGGCACCCACAGTCATAGTGAGAAGGTTCTCCTCTTCTTGGGCCAGGTTTGCAGGAGAGTAGTGGCCCCGACCTCAGGGTAACTGCCATTTTCCTTTGTGGTATCAGAAGCCGGTTTTCCAACTTTAAATGTTGCAGCCCTTGGGTGGGAATCTAGTGATCCTTTTTCCTAGTGGGGCAAGCCAGCTGGAGGCATGGGAAGGACCCCAAAAAAAGAAAAGCGTGTGCACAAGCTGCAAGCCTCTTGGTCCATTGAGTGCTGTGACACTCGTCAAATTGGGAAGGCGGAATATCTCGCCCTCAGACACTCGGAAACCGGGAACCTGTCCCTAGCACATGTGTGTGTGCCAGGCCTTTGCCCAGAGGCCATATCCCTTCCCCTGGGTTTCAGGGTGAAGTGTCTCGCAGTTGGCTTGGGCAAACTAAATCGCACCCTCTCGAAGAAAGGAGGTTTGCGACCTGACCCATACGCGTTCCTTTCATGCCTCATTGGTTGAAGAGTTCAAGGATTGTGGCATGTACCTTCAAGCTGGACAAGCCACATATGGCTTGGGTGGAAGGGGTGCCCCATATGCGACATAACCGCCACTGCCTATGCTTGATTCGGCCAAGGCTGAAGCTGAAGCAGAACTGGATCACCGGGTGTTATGCCCTCGGCTCTAGCTATATCGCCCTGCCCTGGCTTGCAGGGCAGTGCACCTTCGGCGAGGCAGGGGGATGGGCGTTGCTCCCAGAAGTGACACTGTCATTTTTGGCACGGATGCCCTTTTGTGCTTGCTTCCTGATAACTTTTGCAGGGGAAACCGGACCCCGTATATGCTCGGGTTTGTGCGTTCACTTGCTGAGCTTTTGGTGGAAACGATCGCGTTGAAAATGAGCAACATGTGTCCCCAGTTTGGATCCACTTTCACGGGGTGCTCAGTTTGACTCAGTTTGACTCATGGTGAAGCGGCTTGCCAGGTCACGCCAGAGATCATCGCTCTGACGCTTTGGTACTCCGTGGCCGCAGTGGGCATTGCCATCGTGAACGACTTTAAGAGCGTAGAAGGACTGCACGCGGATGTTTTTTAGGTCAAGAACCACTCTGTGGCTTTAATCTGGGATTCCTGCCGCCTTCGGGCCCGGTGTGGCCCTTGGTGTCTGCACACACATACCACATATTCTATGCATTATACGATGTGATCATGCTTTGCTAAGGCTTATTTATTATTTATTTATTTTATTGTTTTTATTTATTTATTTATTTGATTTTTGTTAGTTGATTATGTCGATCATGTTGTTGGCATGTGTTTGTTCCGTCTTCGACATGTCTGGAGCATGCCGATAGACGGAGCGATGTTCAAACGCAAACCAGTGAGAAGCGCTTTTTAGTCTCCAAAAGGTGAATACGCACAGCCTCCTAGACTGCAACTGCTTTCCTCTTGGAGCAGGGATGACCCACTTTGCCGCTGCTTGTGGGAGGCCAATTCGTATGGTGTTGTCACTCGTCAACCTCTGGGTTCGGACGAGTGCGACTCGCATATCTTTTTTTGGGAAGGAACGAGGAATGCGAATTCACATGATGACCTACTGTTGTGTTACATGAACATGCAAGTTTCAGAATGTTTTTTAGACATGTAAGCTATCTGCGCTATCTACATGATGTGTGCATCAGGTCTTGGACATATGAGATGCACCGCGCCAGGAGACAAGAAGCTTGGCTTGTCCTCTGCCCCAGTAGTCTTCGGAATTGACACTGCCAAGTACATGGCCCCGGCCATCAAGGCAGGGGGTGAGACATGTTTTCAAACTGACCTACCCCTTGGCAGGGGAAGCAACCGCTTGGGCAGAAGCAAATGCAAATTTTGACAGGGGGTGCTTTCGCGCAACTTTCAGGGCTGGACCCCTGCAGGACACGGTGCAACTGACCATCGTGGCGTACCTGCTCTACATCGGGGAGTGGCCCTACGCTCTTGGCCCCTCCGCTGTTTGTGATAAGTGACGATGATTTTCGATTGAGGAGCGCCGTTAGGCTTGATCCATAAGATGTAAATGATGTCAACAACACCGGGCAAATTCAAAGCCCTGCTATTTGTATATTGTCTAAATATAGATATGTATAGATATTACATATATATATATATATGTATGTATATGTGTTTTTGCATGTTGTTGGTCACCAAGCACCTGCTCCATCAGATTCATTTGCAGCTGACTTGCAAGCAGAGGCCTTTTCTGCCTGATCATTCCACAAGTCTACTTCGCGAAGACGCTCTTCATCGAGGACCCCCTCAAGAACGACGTGAAGTATCAGGGCTCCTCCCTTCCATTCTTCAGCATCGGGACCATTGTGGCGGCCTCCGCCATTGGCAACAACCCATTGCACTGAGGCCGAAGGATTTTCATTTAGCGGCGCAACAGAAAATGCCGGCCTTCAGCGCTTTTTGCCGTCTGGGTGAGGCAGGTTGATACCTTCGGACTTCGGGCAGATTGCAGTCTGCCCTGCAAAGTTAGTCAACAGATTGAATTCAACAAAAGGTAAAGCAAGAAGGGTTTCCAGAAGGAGATTTCTCGAGAAAAAGTTTCTCTTTGTTGGGTTCCCCCCAGTGAGAGGCCTTTGGAATATTTGGTCCCAACTTAATCTGCAGGAGTCTAGTCGGAGCACCTGGAAAAGTCCGAGCGACTGAGGTTGCTACGGGCCGGGGCTTGCCCACAGAGCGCAGACCCTTCCTGGGAGTCATTGGGGAAGCAGGCGAGCGGGTTTGGTTGCTTATGGCCCCACAGGAACCTCGCATGGGGAATTGAGTTGCAAGGCCTTGGCTCACCGGTCCGTGATGGCAACTCCCATGTCCCTTGCAGGTGTGCCTGATTTGTCAGCTGCCATTGGGTTTCGTCTAGAATCTGTCACTTCCTTGAGGTAAATGTATAGTCGTCCTGTTGGTTCAAGCGGAACTGGTGGTGTGTTCGCGCCCATTTGCTAACTTAGTGCTTCAGGGGCTGGATGCAAAACTTATTCAAAGAACCTGGCCCTTCCATCCGCTTTCTCATTTCCCAGCTGGTTCTTGTGCTTTGACGAAATCCAGTTCCTTCCTTTTGAGACCATGCAGATGAGAGACCTCTATGAAAAATGCACGGCACAAGCCAGGGGAACTGATCCCTGGTGGCTTGTACTTGGACTACGCCCGCATCACGTGCTGACCCCAGTTTGGGCTCCTCACTTGCCCAAATCAATTTGACTTTCGACATGTTGTGCCATGTTTGGTCATGCTCCCAAAAAACTAAACGTTGCATGCGCGCTGTAGTGGAAAGGGCTCTTCAAGGGGCCGGCCCCTTGTAGTGGTTCCACAGTGATCTTGCATTGGCCGAGCCACCCATGCGGCACAGCCCAGTTGGCTGCCTTGCTCCCGAGGAGTGGGATTCCGGCCCACAGAATGCTTCGCCCACTGATCTATTTCGGGTAGTCCGCAGCTTCTGCTGCTATTCCCCAGAAGGTCTTCGTGCAAAGGAGCAGCTACACGCTGTGTCATAACGTGGCGGTCGGGGGAGGCGGCTTTCAGTTTCCAAACCCCAACCTATCTGTTGAACCCCGTTTTGACCTTCTGATTCACGGGTTCGGAAAACAGGTCGGCGGTCAACGGGCAACTTGCAGGACGCTCTGGATATGAAGTCTTTGAAACAATCTGCCCGCCGATGCTAAGGTATTATGATGGCGCCAGCCTTTTGTTCCTCTTGATCTTGGTTGTCGTGGCCGGTGGACACTTTGAGCGCAACATATGTTGAGCTTGTTCGGGGGGCGGCGGAAGCTGTCCCTGTCTGAGCAGCCAAGGAATTGACAACACCGGCCCACAGCTGATTGGCATTCTCATCTCCTTGTCTCTGGTCTTTGCCTCAGGCCCGCAGGCGATCCAGTGGCGCCAAACCCCATCATACGTTGCGGTGGTCCACGTTTGCAAGCTTTGGGGCAATCATTTCGTTGGGACGACTTCCCGGCTCGAACTCATGAAAATTATGAATACTTGAGGTTTGCAAAACTCATGAACACTTGTAGATTATAGAAGGGTTATAGAGTCAAGAAGCGACCCATGAGTTGGACCAAACACGGTGGTTGCCCCAAGTTCTGAAATTTAAGTTCAAAAGTCATAGACGCTCGCCCGCTGCGCCCTTGCTGCACGAGCCTGCACGCCGCACCCTAGCCTCGCTCTACACCCTGTACGCAATAGAAATTTGCATGGGAGGAGTCACTGCACCACACGCTCGAGCAGACTTACACGTGAACTTGCGCAAGCACACTTGCGCAACGGCTTTTGCGCGAGACAAACTTGAGCGCAAGATTTGATATTACTACTCTAAGGTGGCCGGGCAGGGCCGGGCCGGTATGCGAAGATCATACCCTCTTTGAGCATCGCACGTGTGTTGGTTTGTGTTTGTGTGTGTTTGTGTGTTGCATGTTTTGTGTTTTGTGTGTCCGTTTCTGTTTGTGCTTGTGCTTTGGTGTGTGTGCGTTTGTCTGTGTGTGTTGATGCACAAAAACCCACAAGGCATGCATGCAACTTGTTGCTTGCCTTGTCGCCGGAGATCCGCACCACGGACCAACACGGCTGCGGCCCTGCCCAAAACCCGTGACATGTCCTCAAATACGGTTGGCGGTTTGTTTGCGTTCCGGAGCGGCACGCGAAGTGTAGGGTTCAGGTGGCTCCGGGCTTCTCAAGCGGCTCGGGGTTAGGGCCTGCACATGGAACCTCAGGTTCCATGGTTTCCGTTCTCCAGGTTCCAAGCAGCTCCAGGGCTCCAAACTTGGAACCCTGTGTGGAATCTGGGAACCTCCTGCGCGGAACCTTTGCTTGACCTTGGAGCCCTTGAAGGAAAACTGGCGGGAATGCGCAGCAACGCTTCACTGTGTGCATGTTGGTTGACTTTGCATGAGCGTTGATTCATGCCAGCTTCCTTCTCGCAAAGAGATCCAAGGGACAGTTGGCAAAGATTGGCAGGGGGTCAAAGATCAGCCCTCCGGTGTGGCAGCTCACCTCATCATCTCTTTTTCGCGCCGAGGTCACAATTTCCTGGCTCCTTGCGCCCTTCATTTTCAACCCGTACCAGTTCCGACCATCATGTTGGATCAATGACATCAAGGCGTGTCAGCTGCGTTTCGTGCCGCTGAGGGGTTTTCATTCAGTCACCAGTAAACAGTAACCAGAAACCTTTTGAGAGCTAAACATAGCGGGACCCTTTTTGCAGGGGCGAAATTCCGTGTCCCTGTGACTCCTGCAGGCCTGGATGCGATTCTTCTTGGATGACTGCGGCTTGCATTGGAAGAAGCCCTGGCCTCAGACGAAACAAGCTGTGACGCGCGCAAGCGATGGCCTGTTTCCCACCTGAGCAGGCTGCCTGCTATCCACAGGTCAAATGCCCCAAGTGTACACGTGGTCCGGGGTCTTTGTGGCTTTTGCAAGCGCGCTGCGATATATCAGGTTGCGTGGGTGGTCCTTTTGGATCCAGCCAATGACGAAATTCCCCATTTGGGACCGAACAGTGGGGTTTACTAGCTTTTTCAAAGCAGATCAGCAGAGCTCGGATGTTGCATGATTTTGCGGTTTACGGATTGGACTATGCGCTTTGCAGAGTATGGGTTCGAATGTGGGTTGTGTAGGTGTTCAATTCGAGCAGGATTGAAATATAGGATGCCTTTGATGTGTGTGTGTGTGTGCGCGCTTGTTTTACCCAATCCCTCCATGTGTTGGGTCAACGTGTGGAAAAGTCGTCTGTCATCGCCAGGGTGTTTTTCTTTTTAAACCCTAGGGAATTGTACCCGCAATTCTCAGCATGTTGGCCGTTCGTTCTATCTCCGGTTAGGGTTGAACGTTGGTCAACTGTTTCGTTTGTCCGCCTTCAATGATGCAAGAGGGTTGCCCAAAGCCCTTTCATGACTTGCATGTGTTTGATTTTAACCCAGTTCTTTCTTGTCCATCGTTTTGTTCCAAGAAAACATGGTCCAACCGTGTTTCTTGTCCAACCAATCCACCATCTTCTTTGTTTTGCTTTCGGTTGGTTGGTTGGTTGGTTGGTTGGTTGGTTGCTTGGTTGCTTGCTTGCTTGCTTGCTTGCTTGCTTGCTTGCTTGCTTGGTTGGTTGGTTGGTTGGTTGGTTGGTTGGTTGGTTGGTTGGGGTGTGGTTGGGCGTGTTTGGGTGTGGTTGGGTGTGGTTGGGTGTGGTTGGGTGTGGTTGGGTGTGTTGGGTGTGGTTGGGTGTGGTTGGGTGTGGTTGGGCGGGGTTGGGCGGGCGGGCGGGCGGGCGGGCGGGTGGGTGGGTGGGTGGGTGGGTGGGTGGTTGGTTGGGTGGTTGGGTGGTTGGGTGGTCGGGTGGTCGGTGGGTGGGTGGGTGGGTGGGTTGTTGCACCTCAGCTGGTCAGGTGGTTTACCGCCAACCAGCTGAAGCCGCGCCGGGGCTTCCGCGCCACGGTGCTGGAGATCGGGTTTCTCATGGAGCTGTGGTGGGTCTGGGGCCCTGGCCAACCCGGGTGGGTGCGTCCTTTTTGTTTTGAGGGAAGCCAAACCACATTTTGGTTTGTTTTCTCACTTCCTGACTGCCTGGACTTGAAGCTTTTTGGGTAGGCCATTTTAGTGGTAAACAAGAACTTTGGACTTTTTCTGAGCAATCCACCCAGGAAGTGAGTTTAAAAGGGAAACCAAAAGGCAAACCTGCGAATTGTTGGGGGTCCCCCTTAGCAACCCCTAGGTGGTTTGTGTTGGTGGTTTTGGGATTTGCACCCCTGGTTCTTTTGGAGGGCAAATGGGAACCCCCCAAAACCACCAAACCACCAATCCAATCCAATCTACCAATTGGAAGGAAGCCGAGTAAGGGTACCCCGAAATTTCCAGATTCCATTTCCTTTGGCCAACAGTTGCTTTGGGAACCTGGATGGCTTGCATGGAACCATCAAAGGTCGGAGCACCAAACGGAATGGCGCTGGAGCCCTGGAAACACCGAAGTGTGGATTGATCAACCCTTGGCTGATTAGCAGGAGCGTACCTGCGCAAAGTTCGATCATGGGAGGAAAGGCTCCAACACTCCCATTGGTTCTACTCAAATCCGGATGTTGGCACCCTCCTTGGAAGGATTCCACCAGGCACCTGGCCATAGGATGTTTCAGTGTTGGGCGACCTGGGGCCAAAGCCCAAAAAATATGCAACGAGCTAACAATCCAAATCGCTCCCCCTAAACAGAAGGAACCTGACGGCGGAGGTGGGCGATGTACATGTCCAAGGCACCTTTCCAGTGGAAGTTAAAAAGCTATTTGATCTTCCATTGAACATTCAACAGGTCAGATTTGTTACTCGTCCAGGGGCGGGACCCGCTCAGGGGTCCTTGTGCTTTCAGCTTTGCCCGCGCACATGCGAATCGACCTTTTCGCCTTTTGGGATGGT